TGCTGTTCCGATCGAAAATTTAATTGGCGCGTAGTTTGTAAAATTGGATATATAAATTTATTTTGAAATATTAAGCACGAAGCTCTAGCTTATATCAAAAAGGCCTTCATTTTCTTAGTTGTATTTTTATATATCGATCTAATGTGTTGTATTGCTTTTATTAATATTAAAACAAAAAATTGCATCTTAAATTATTTAGATTGATCTTGTTTTAGCATTAAAAAAGTAACGGAAAAGTAACGATTCGTTACTTTTTAAGTAACGGTAACGATAACGAGTTATTTTTAAAAATCAATAACTATAGTAACGATAATTAGTTATTTTTTTAACTCGGTAACGAGTAACGATAACAATAGTTACTTTTAAAAAGTAACTTTCCATTGCCTGAGCTTACATGAAAAAATAGTACCGTGTTTTACTAATGAACCTATAAGTGCTTCAATATATGAAAAAAATTGTATGAAAATACGTATATACGTATGTATGTATGTATGTATGTATGTATGTATGTATGTATGTGTGTGATATTGATGATGTAGTAAAATTCAATACATCACTATACACTACTACATCAATATTGTACGCATATATTGTCGTAAAACAGAAGTTCAGCCGTTGCTCCAACATCGCCTTATTAAATCATCTTAAATCGGTAAAATAGCTCTGTTTGCTATTTGCGTTATGAAGACAGTCTAAACATTTTCCAAATCTATAATAGATCCTAAAATTAGATAAAAGGAGAATGCTTTAAAAAGATATGATATATATTAGACATTTTGAATATTTTATTAAAATTTTATATGTGGGTATATGCTTGTATGTGTGTGTATTATCTATTAAATTTAAAAAAATATAGAAATGTTAGACAATCAGATATTTGTATGTGTTTATTAGATCTTTTAAAACTCATGTCTTTTTATCATACATAAATAAGTAATCATAAATAAACAATTAAACTGAATGTTATAAGTAAAAATCAACAAAAATGACCAAATATAATAATTCCCAAATACAAAAATTATAATATAATATTTGATATACTATAATAAATATATAAAATAAATTATTGACATTTTTTTTTACTTCGTGAAAATACGACAAATAATCTTTTTAGAACATTTATTGCTACATTCGTAAATATTCACTTCCGCGTTACAAAGAATAACGATGGCTTGAATTGTCACGAAGAGAGTTAATCGCAACATTGATTTTACCAAATGCTTTTATAATCTCTGAATGTCAAAGTTGCGACGAAGTAATGCTATAATTTTGTTATAAAATCTACGTAATAAACCATTATCAAAAAGCATGCAGTCATCTATCCTGTGTAACATATTGATTTGAATGGCACGACTTTATCTTCCAAAAATAGCAATATGATCTTTTCTGTAACATTTTTAAAACTGTGATGTATATTGTGTATTTAATCGATGTGTATTGTGTAATTGTAAAGTGTACATGTATTCCATATATTAATAATTTTGTATATATAATTTTTATTATAGTGTCTCTTGTAACGTCGTACATTTTTTCCATAAGATAAAAATATTTTTATATTTGATTGAATATATGTTTATACATTTATATTGAATATTATTTAGAATATATAATATAAAAAATAAATACTTGTGAGGTACAAAAACATATCTAGATTTAGATATTTCTTATTTTATATAAGTGCTGTATGCATTGACATCAAATCATAAACATATAAGGTAACATAAGTTGAGTTTTAACATTAACAATAAGAGATGAGACTGTCATGTACATACATCTTGCTACAATCTTTATTATGATGATCGTGCTTTCAACCGAAATTTAGGCTAAGGCTCAAATGGATGAAATAGATGACTGTTGGTGCTGTCGTAAGTATTATTTGTTTTTATTTAATTTTATTTATTTATTTATTTTATATAATTGTATAATAATTAGATTATTTATTTAAATTAGCAGTATTTTGCATAAACATAAATTTAACGATATCTTTATGTAGAAATACATATATCGATGCAGCTATAACTTTATATTGATAATTGCTTTTTTAGTCATATTTTTCAAATTTATTTCAAATATTTTTTTTTGTTTTGTCACAAACAATCTTTACCATAAACATTCTATATACCTCATTTTTTTAAGTGTGAAATTGAAGTTATTTCTTTTTCTTAGCTCATAGTGGCTCACGGTCGCCTACTTCCTAAATTATAGAAAGTTGGCATTTCTCATCACTGGTGAGTATTCAAACAATATATACCAATTAAAAATTGTCATTTATATATAAATATTAATAAAAGTATTTCTTATATTTAAGGAAAAAGAGTAGCTGCGTCTTCCACGTGATGAACCTGAAATTAAATTTTTAGCAAAGACCTGGCAAAAAATTGGAATTATGATGTAATATGTGTAAAAAATGAAGCATATAAACAATACAATATGTCATATTGTATATTTAAAAAACAAGTTAATTATATTTGTATGTATCTATTATATTTGTTTGTTTTTAAATAACATAACAGAAAATAAACAACAAGAATGCATAATCAGTATCGTAACGTTCTCTTACTGAACATAACATTGTATTTTTCATTGTATTCGTATTATAATTTATCATCTGAAGATGTTTTTTTCCAGTTATACATTTTAATTATTTTTATTTACATTAAAATAATACTCTTTATACAATTTCTTTCAAATAATACATATGTTAAATTTTTTGGACAATAGGAAACACAGACATAATCCTTTTTTTTTATTGCATCGTATATCTTAAAACAAAATCTTGTTATTAATAATATATTCTAAAATTTTAATTACACTTCTACTATTCCAGATAGCATGCTTGTCCAAAATTGAGTTTTCATGATAACGTCTTAATGATATGTCTCTAAACATCATGTCCTGCTTTTGCATATGATGCTGTCTGGGTTGTAATACGCAATTATCTTTAATTAATAAATAATTTTGTATAAGTTCTTCTTAAAAAGAAATGTATTTCTTAAAATGCAATTAATGTTCGTCGAAGATTCTGAAGCATTTATAAAAAAAAATGATATTTCTTAAAATGCAATTAATGTTCGTCGAAAACTCAGAAGCATTTCTAAAAAAAAATGCATTTCGACGACGAAGACGAAGTGACGCTATAATCAACATATTGTAGTTATATTGCATGATAAATTATCATGTTATTTAGCGCTTGCGTGGCCCACGGCGAAAACGTGAGGAAGATAAGACTCTGCGCATGTCCATATACACGCACGCACACACAGGCATGTCCACATGCACTTCTATCCACTCAGAAACATGTGCGAAACCTTATCTTCTTCACGTCTTCGTGGGCCTTAATAAAAAATATATTGTATACATTATAGTATAAGTATTCTTTAAAGAATATACTATATACATATTTATATATATTTATTTTTTAAAGACTATACTATACATATTAATTTATATATGTAAATATATTTGATCTTTTTAGAATTAATACATCTTTATTAATAAAGTAATTGATATAATCGATGATTTCGATTATCTCTCGAAAACCGCTGCGTTGATTAAAGAAATTGATCAGTACTCTCATCTCTACAACTATATATATGTTAAGATCAAGGTCATCGGAACTGCATCTCTTAATGTAAAGGAATACCTTATTTTCTTATAAATTTGATAATTGAATATTACGTAATGTTATGTTTTATATTTATTTATGCTTATTTTAACATAAATGTGCAGCCGTAATAAATTTTTGCTTAAATAAATTATAAAAAACAAGTAAGAAATTTTGACTCGGCCAAAAAACGAGCAAGGTGTGATATGACATGAAATCACAAATAAAAATTTTAAAGAAAATTTAATGTCAAAACGTTTCGACTACACAGAGTATTCCTTAGTCGAAATAAATTAACATATAAATAAATTAATAAAAATAAAACAAAGGTGTAATTAATTTGACGCATTAAGTACCTACATGCGTACAAGCAAAATTAAAATTACATTGACTAGAAAGACGTCACGGAGAGGACGTGAAAGAAGGTCGTTTGAAATTTTGACAGACTTTGATGTCATGGATCGACTTTCTGCTGAACGCGAATAAATACTCGAAAAAGCAACGAAAATGATTAAAAAAAAGTTTCCCAAAAAACTCCGAAAAAGACTGCAAAAAAATGCAAAATATTTTTAAATAAAATAAAGTCTTAAAAAAATTTTTTCTTATTTTTTTACCTTAAAACACAGATTTCCGAATAGCCTGGGTCCAGGGCTATTCGGCACACTTCGCACTGGTCAACATTTTTATTCATAGTTCAAAGCAAGTACAATTCCGTGATTAATCTATAATATATTGCATTATGTAAAGAAATATATAATTCTATTTAAAAAAATTGATAAGACCTTAACCTGACCTTAAGTAAGGTAAGGTTCAACCTTTCAAACTGTGTAATAAATTTTTTTATAAATACAGATCGAATTCAGGAGAAGTAAAGAAAAAAAAGTGTCCCGAATAGCCCTGATCTCCCCTATGATAAAAAATAAAGCAAATATAAATTTGAAATAAATTTGAATACTCAATGATAATGATTGATTCATAAAATACGACTTATATAGAGTGGATATTAAATAATGTAAAAGATTTTAAGGTGTAATTTCTTACACAAATTTAAGACGAAAACTTCATATGTCCGAAATGGTTTCAAAGATACAGAGTATCAAAGTTGAAGGAAAAATTTCACTTTTTTTCCAAAATTTTGAAAACCATTTGGGTTGTTTTAGTGAAGCTCTTTGTGTATGTTGACTTTGGGTGACGTTGCCAAGGTCAGGTTAAAGTCTTATCAATTTTTTTAAATAGAATTATATATTTCTTTACATAATATAATTCATTTAATTAATCTACATATAAAAGTATTAAAGTAAAATTATCCAAAAATCAATATACTTCACGAAATATTTTTAACTTTATTATACCATATTTCGAAATAAAATATGAAATATCTCATATAATTCGAAAACAACTCCGAAACTGTTTATATAGCTTATAGTTTATATGTTTATATATCTTTTTTTCCTTCTTTTTAGATTCCAAATCACCTTAAGAGGTACTGCGGACGAGTTTCTGATGGACACCCTGTATAGTGCATTAGCTTTAAAAATGACATAAAAAAGTCTTCCAGCAATAAGAAAAGTATTGTAATTTTCAGAAGATAAAGTTGTATCGTTGAGGACAGAATATTTTTCCGGGTAGATATATGTTTGATAGTGATTTACTACATACATTTTTATAATGTTGATTGTAGCATTGTTTCGTCGCATAACTTTAACTTCGAAGGTTATAAAACATTTAATGATAAAACAAATACTGCGATTGGTTCTCCTTTAGTGATAATTTTAATGATAGGTATTCTTTAAAATAAAAACGATAACAAAGATAGTAAATACAGCAGTTAATGCTTAAAGAAAACTATCGATCGTGCCTTCATGAAACAAAAATAAGTCAATAATTCAAGAATTCAAAAGATAAATTATTATTATGTTGCGATATATACATTTGAAAATTTAATATGTTATAACCATTTATCTTTTTTATTTGGTACACTCCTGATCTTTAAACTTTCAATTATTTCATTAACAAAGGTGTTAATTCTAAAAAGATCCAACATACTAATACAAAATATATGTATATATAGTCTTTTAACAATTAAAGGACAAATTTCTTTTTTTTTTCCAAAAGTTTCAAAAATCGCTCGGGTTATTTTGAAATTTGAAACATACACAAAGAGTTTCATCAAAACAATCCAAATGGTTTTCAAAATTTTGGGAAAAAAAGTAAAATTTTTCCTTCAACTTTGACATTCTGATGATCTTTGACTGTATCTTTGAAACTTCTTCGGATATACACTCTTAATCATGTATCGCCTAGTACCTCCAAATTCGAGATATTTTTTTTAAACATGGAAATGACCTTTCGAGTTACACACTAAAAGGAAGTATTTTTCGTGGTACATTAGCACGAGACACAGAATATACAAGATAATAATAAATTTTGCGATACAATTGGAGACCTTACCTTGTGGCGGGGTAAGTAAAAATTATTTACTTTGCGGCGGGGTAAGTAAAAATTGCTTACCTTGCGGCGGGATTTGAAATATTTTGAAAATTGACAAACTTATGTTTGTCGTTTATTGTTGTAACCTTTGACCGGTTTAATTAAAAACGTCAGGAAAATCACTGCAAACAACTATAAACAATTATAAATATTGTGCCTCATGCGGATTTGAGATATCTTGAAAAGTTATTACGTTCTTCATTTATTGCAAATATGTTGTAATTTTTGAACAATTTGACTACAACGGGAAAGTCGTTAAAAACAACTAAAATTGATTATAAAAATTATGCCCCAAGCGAATTTGAGATAGATATCTTGAAAATTGGCAAAGTTATGTTTTTTATTTATTGCAAATATGTTGTAACTTTTGAACGGTTTAACTGCAAATGATGGGAAAATCACTACAAACAACTACAAACGATTCTGAATCAAGATAAATTATTGTTTTTTCTGTAACTCAAAGTCGGATGATAGTCATTTTTGCAACATTTTTTTATTATAAATAAATTTATTGAATTACAAACGAAATTATTGTTACTACAAACAGAATACTAACATTTTTTTATTGTAAACTTATTTTAGTAAAAGTCGAATGTTAAGTTCACGTAGGTAAATATAGTGCATAAACGAATATGGATTTAATGTGCATATAGAGGTGTTTACAATTATTTCTCAAAAATAATATAAAATTTTTAAAAAATAACTTTATCACACATGGTTGAATTTGTTTTAAAATAATCTTTAATTTAGTAAAAAAAAAAGGAATTCGAAAAATTAAAAAAAATTTTTGGTGGAGATAAATAAAAAAAAATAAATTATTTTAAATTATAATTATAAAGTACTCTTAAAGCCATTCAACTTTGGTTTAAACATTTTTTTCTATCTCTTGTAGTTTTGTCGATATTTGCATAAAATAAAAAAACCGATTTTTTCTTAAGGGAATAATGCAAAAATTTTCTGCATTAGATAAAAACATTTTTTACGATTTAGAATATATAATATTTACGTGTATATATAAAACATATACAACACAACAGAAAATTTATGTATCTATTAATTCGCTATGTGTCGCCAGTAAATCACAAACGTATATACTAACAATAAGACATGCGACTGTCATTTCTCTTAGGTTCTTGCCAATCTTTGTTATGGCAATCCTATACGCACCTGAAACGGAAGCAAACGCCATCTCAGAAGCTAATGCAGTCGGTATAACGCCAATCCAGCAAGTGGTGATGCGATAAACATTTTATCATTAAAGCTTATTCTATATCAAGTTTCTTCTTTTATATGTACGTAAACGTACATATATAACGTACATAATAAATTTTTTTTTAGTTCATTGATATAGCAAATCGCATACTCTCAGCATGGTAAGTAAATAGTGTATGGACTAAAAATGTTGTCATTACTATAGGATAACGGTCCTTATACACCATATATTAGTGT